CATAGAGATAAATTTGTGGGTTCCACCACCTGAAAAAAGAAAAGAAAAGAAAAGAAAAAGGTGGCACAATTATCGAAAGGTGTGTAGGAGAGAAAATGTATCTTATGTAACATAAGAATAGTTTTTCCCTTGCTTTAATGCTCAAATTTAACAATTTAAACATGACACTAATATATTTTTAAGTCAGAATATTGTCCAATTATGAAAAATCCAAAGTCTTTTGTATTTGATAATATACACTATGCATTTTGATCATATTTATCGTCATTTAATCTATTTTTTATCCTAAAAACATAATGTCTTTGATAGGGGTGGCAATTCGTGTTCATGGGTCGGGTTCGGGTCGACCTGTGTCTGACACGAACACGAATAGCCTCAACCCGAACACGACACGATTAACAAATCGTGTTATAAAATTCAACCCGTACACGACCCATGTATAAACGGGTTGACACGATATAACCCGAATTTGAGGGCAATCTGTATTTTACACGACCCGACCCGACCCGACACGAGTAAACAGAAAGTGATATTAATTCAAATCATATTAAAACTGTTCAATCTAATTCAAATCAAAATAACTTACTACATTGAACTCCATCAATCCAACATCAAAACATAATTAAATGCAACCTACAACAAATGTCTCATTCTTACAGCAACTTCTTCCACCGAAATACAAATTAAGATCACAAATTTAAGATCATTTAACTGATGAAAAATTTGAAATATAAAAGTCATTAAGCAACAGAGTAATTTTGAGCGCCATGATCAGCTATTGAATATAGATTCATGTCCATGATATCTTCTGTCAATTCTTCCAAAGCTATTGCTGATTGCTCTATAAAAATAAAAATCAAATGAGTTAATTAAAATCCTTAAAATAAATAGTTAATGAATAAGTGATTGATAATGTATATTACCTTGCTCTCCATATAACCAATCTCTAGTGCAAATCAATGCTTCAACTATGTCAGGTTTGAGTGAACTTCGGTATTGATCAAGTACTCTTCCTCCAACACTAAAAGCACTTTCCGAAGCAACACTAGAAATAGGTATCCCAAAAATATCTCTTGCCATTGCAGCAACTTCTGGATACCTAAATTGATTAGTCTTCCAATATGATAACACATCCAAGCTAATATTTCTTCTGTCAATCCTTGGATCCTCTAAATATAATTCAAGCTGAGTCTTTTGTGGCACAACCACTTCATGAAAAGTATCAAATTCCTAACAATATTATAAAATAAATAATATCAATAAATGTACAAAAGAATATAAACAATTACAAGACAAATAATTATGTTAACTTACACTCAAAACATCTCGAGATGTAGTAGAAATTGAGGTTTCATCAATCGTCTCACTCCCACCATCTCTAGCCCTCCTTGTTGAAGAAATAGATGAATAGTTTCTGATTCCATCATTTGCATACTCATTAAACAAGGAAACCAATTTGTTTTTCACCTTTGTGGATTCGTTCACCCCATCATCACCATACAACTTATTGTAGCACCATTCAACAAAACTCATCTTATATCTAGGATCCAAAATGACAGCTATGGCTAAAATCATACTAAATTCAGACCAATATTTGTCAAATTTAGTGAACATCTTTTCAGCCATATTCACAATATAAGCATCATCACTTTTCAATCCTTTTTGTAATGTCAGATGTGCAGTAAAAACATAAGGAAAGTAAAGATTTGCAGTTGGATGCTTGGTTTTAGAGAAGACGCAAGTAATATCATAAAATACATGCAAGAACTCATTGATCTTTTCTATCCTATCCCATTCATCTCTAGATGGACAATATTTGTAGTTGGAATCACTTAACTCAAGGTGCATGAAGGCACGTTTATAGAAGAGTGCACTATCAAGCATGAGAAAAGTAGAATTCCATCTTGTTGGAACATCTTGCCTACAACCTCTTCTAGATGCAAGAGAACTTTGAGCAACACACTGCAAAATCTTCCAAAGACACAAGGAAGAAAAGGAGGAGATACTCAACATCTGATAGTGATAGTGGTAGTGATAATTATTCCTCAGATTCTGAGTCAGATTCAGCTTCGGATTCTGAATCGGATTCTGATTCAAGTTCCTCTAGTTATGGGAAACACAGGAAGAGGAAGAGAAATAAGCGCAAGCATGGGAAGAAGAGGAGAATTGGAAGTAAGCAGAGGAGGAAAAGCCAGCACGGTAGAAGCAGAAGATCAAGACCCAAGTCCAGATGGTCTGATTACAACTGGCCTTTAGCATGGCCCCTTTTCCTATAGTGCTTCTGCCTCAGTAAGAATTTGCCTGATATCTTCTTCAATTGAATTACTTTCCCTTTTTCAGGAGCTCAGATGGTTCAAGTGATAAAGAAAGTGAGAGATCTAGTGCTAGTGGCAGTAGTTCTGGTGATGAGAAAGCTGATCACTCTGGTCGTAAAACACATGCTGACAATAATGCACAAAGAGATCTAGTGCTAGTGGCAGTAGTTCTAGTGCTAGTGCAAAGTGTTAAAAAAAATACAAGGTTCAAGCTCAAACCCGTGACAAATGCATACCAGATTCGTTTGATTCCTTGTTCGAACAAGAAGACGCTGCGCTGGAGGCGAGAGAGAGGCGAGACCAACGAGACGGGGCAGAGAGGCGAGAGCTGCGCGTTAAATGGAACCCTAAGGCATTTTTTTCTTTCCTTTTATACTTCGACGGAAACCCTAAGGCGTTTTTAATAATTCTTTATTTAAAAAAATAACTTTAAATTTGAACCAGACCTTTCACGGGTCAAAGCGGGTTCACGGGTTGACCCGTGACCCGACACGATTTTTTTCGTGTTAATTTTTTCCAACCCAAACACGACCCATTTATTAAACGGGTTGACCCATACACGAAAATTTCGTGTCGGGTCCGGGTCGGGTTCGCGGGTCGTGTCACAAATTGCCACCCCTAGTCTTTGACATTTATCACTCACAAACAAGATGAAGACATAAGTAAAACTTTCTCCTTTCTTCCCTTTCTTCCCCTTTTAATAGTGACTCCCAAAACATATTTGTGATTTTTAAGGGGGGGTTTATCCAAAGAACATGATACATTCAAAGCCCATTTAACATTATATTATTGAGAATTTAAGTGAAAATAATAAAGTCTCGCATTAAGAAATAGATTTTTCGTGCTCCCATGGTAAGTGCATCTTTATTTAAAGTAGTTAAAAAATGGGACTCGCATAGCATGACCCATAAAGTAGGGGTAGGATAAATTGTCTCAGATAAATTATTATTTTTATTTTATTTTAAATAAGTGATGTATCGAGTACTCCTGCAATACTAGGCTAAATATGGAACATATAGGTGTGAAGACTCATAAATCTAACACCCTAAAATTTTAAAATATATTGGCAAATTTTAATAATTATCCCCAATCATGAGCTCCTCCTTTTGCGAGCCAAAGTGTAATTGACTTAATTCTTCCTTACGATTGATTCCTCTGACCTTCAACATAGCTAACTTAACAGTAACCTAATGTTGGGAAAATAGGAAAATATAAAATATTTATTTATCTTAGAAGTCATGTACTTATTTGGTTATGTATCATCCTTAAACTCAACTATTTTTAATATAATATGAGAAAGAAGGCCATTTGTTTCTTAATAATATCATCACAGGGTCTATAAAACTTGTGAAAGGCAGGCTCGAAGAAAAAAGTAAATCAGTATTCTATAAAATGACATTGTGTCTTGAAATTTTATCATTAAACTCGTCTTTGTAAAACTAATATAATTGAAAAAGAAATACAAACAAAGAAATGAAATTAAAATTTCATTTATGATTATATTAAAAAATTCGTTGTGATGGATATTAAAGATGAATATTCAATATAATTTTTTTATTTCTCATTTTTATTATTACACTAGTTTATCATTAAATGTTAGTTTTGGATTTTAAAAGTCAAAATAATTAAAAGGCTTACATGAAAAGAAATAAAAAAAAAATAATGATTGGAATTTTAATTTATATTGAAAAAAGATTCCAAGAAATGTGTTATCATTTATATTAGATTAATACAATTATGACTGAAGTTTTAATCGATTTTTTACTTTCTCATTCAAAAGAATTAGTCATAATATATATATATATATATATATATATATATATATATATATATATATAATAGATGATTAATTAATATGCGCGCTTATGAAAATAAGTATATAATAAGTACAATTGATATTTGAATTAATTTATTTAAATTCGAAAAGTGAGAATAATCAATATACTATTGTTAAAAAGGAGATATTTTGTTATTTAAATTAAATGAAATCTGTTATAAATAAAATTTGAATTGAATTTGAATTTTTTTTAAAATTAGAATTTGAATGCATGAAAAAATAGAACAAGTGAAAGTCAAATGAAATTAAGTGAATTCGTGGCAACTAAATTTTTTATTTTATTATTAGACACAAATAGTTACCCTTAATATAATATTCTTCATTATATTAATGTTAATATTTTTCCTTAATGTAATCTTAACACTTTAAAATAAAATTTCACACTTAGAAATTCAGAGTTTCATTTTTATTAATAAAAAATTAACATTCAGTGTTTTGTGCTTAAATATTTTATTTTGTCAAATGCACCCTAAAAAGTAAAGGAGGTAAAAATAGAAAGATAAGAAATAAATAAATAATATATCAATGACATAATCCAAAATGTTATAAACAATTCGACTAAGGAAAACGAATTGAAAGTAAAGAAAAAAGGAATAAAAAAAAATCCCAATTTGTTGGGGGTATTTGAGGATGGTTTGTTAACATCTTTTTTTTTTTTTTTTTTTTTTTTTTTTTTGTTAAATAGATTATCACAACTACATGCATAGCAAGTGGTTAACAAAATTTTTTGAGCCACAAATATATTAGGAGTCCTACACACTTGTCACACAAACTATTAACCAAACCCTAAAAGCTAGCAAAACCATCCATTCATAACCCTTTCAGAACCAAAAAAAGAAGGCATTTTTCCCAAAATAACTCAAGCCCTACCCTTTAAAGCCCCAAGCAACACCTTCATTTTGTCTCTCACCTGCAAGAGAAAATAACATAATTCAAGCAACACAGTTTCTTCATCAAACGAAACTAACTAGCAGGTCTTTGTAATCTAAGTCACATATATTCCATTCATTCATCATGGACATGAAGAAGGTTACTTGTGCTGTTCTCATTGTTGCTGCTTCCATGAGTGCAGCATTGGCTGCCACCGAGGTTCCGGCACCGGCACCCGGCCCTAGCAGTGGTGCCTCAGCCACCGTTGTTGGGTCCTTGGTTGGTGCCTCAGTGTTGTCTTTCTTTGCCTTGTTCCACTAAGCTAAGGAAAAATGTGACAGGGCAACAAGGAAGAAGGTTATATATAATATATATATATGGAATAATGAATGAAGACAATAAAAATGTCAATTGATATGTATTATTTGGACAGTTGATAATGCAATGTTAATTTATTCTTATAGTAATTTTAATCTACAAATATTTTCCTTTCATCTTGAGTATAGTTCAGTATAAATAAATAAATAATTTTTATTTTTATTTCTTGTCTCTCATTTGTCTTTTTTCATTAATTTTTTCCTTGTACTTTATTTAGATTCGTCAACCACCAATCCGAATTGTTTACTGTAAATATGATGTTGATTTGCTCATGATTATAAAAGATAAGATAGAAGCTATATGATAATAACCAAAATTTATCTCACCAGCTACAAAAGTCAAATCAAACCAAACATTAGTTAGTATTTCTAAATGATTGAAAAATTGAAAAATAGGGAGAGACAACATCATGAAACCAGTTAATTAAAATGTAAAAGATAAACCCTAAAACAAGGTCAAGCGAAACAAGATGTCTACAAGTCCATCAAATAAATAAAACAAGAAGCTCAAGAACTTATTTATTTATTAATTCTAAGTTCGAGGAAGTGGATATGACAATCTTAGGCTGCATATATATACATTTTTTCAATTGATATGTTTCCACTAATAAATACAAATATATAACCTTATTTTTCAATTTGTTTTCTATTTTTACGATTTTTGTAAAGAAATTGCTGAAAACAAGATTTTATTGTGTTGCTTTCAACATTTTCTTCACATGGAACAATGACGTTTTTTAATTATTAATGAAAACATATCAACTAAAAATGCAAACAAAAAACATACTAATTGCATCCTTAATGTTTGTGCAATAATGACCATGGCTTACATAAAAACATTAATAAATATTCAACCCAAATATAATTTAATCCATTTACAATAAAGCATTCATTTACAACAAACCATCACCAGGAAAGAATTTGTATGATGTTATTTTCCAGCCTCCAAACTTCAATCAAGCAAAAGTCTCAAAGGAAAAACTCATGTAACATTTGGAAACACACATTTTTTTCTTACAATAATAATGTATAATCATAAACTAGGTTTCCAGGTTAAATTTTTGTGAGGACATGAGGCTTTTTGTGAGCCATATTGCTGTTTCTCTGGAAGAAACTGCATCTTCTCCAAATGGTCTTAGCACAGCAGCAAGCTCTTCAAGCTTTCCTTGTTTAAGTAGTTCTGCACATAACTCAAGCAGAGATTCCATTGCATGAGCTCTTTGCTGGCAGGGATTATCCAACGCACTCTTTGTTTCGTCACCACCAATTGAAATACATGCACAATTTGAAATGCTATTTGGTGTCTTATCAACCAAAACAGCATTATCTTCTTTATGCGTGGCGCACCTGATGATGCATGTGTTTAATCTGCCTTCATCCTTACCTGGAAGTGTACCATTATTCTCAGAGGTCAAGTTGTCAATGAGTAAGCCTTCTTCTGTCAATGCTTCAGGGTATTCACTTTCCTTCAAGCAGCTTCCAGTTTCAGTGTCATGTTCAACCCTAACAGGATGCATAATTGGTAATGACCTTTCCTCATCAATGGACCCCTCTTTATCATTGCCGCTGTTAGCTTCACTGGATATTATTGATTTAATGGAGTCCTCAGGTTTGGCATCTTCCCTATCTGCTTCAAGTTTATCAAAACCTTCATTTGAAAAAGTATCATCGACTTTTGTAGTCACTGCATTTATGTCAATGGCATCTGACTTCTGAAAATGTTCAGCAGCAAATCCTTGTTCTTCATGCAGATAATCAAGTGTACTCTTTGATGCGATCTCATCAATGGACTCATCTTTATCATTGCCGTTGCTGTCTTCACTGGTCATAATTGATTTAATGGAGTCCTCAGGTTTGGCATCTTTACTATCTGCTTCAGCTTTATCAAAACCTTCATTTGAAAAAGTATGTTCAACTTTTGTAGTCACTGCATTTATGCCAATGGCATCTGACTTCTGAAAATGTTCAGCAGCAAATCCTCGTTCATGCAGATAATCAAGTGTGCTCTTTGATGTGATCTCATCAATGGACCCATCTTTATCATTGCTGTTGCTGTCTTCACTGGACATTATTGATTTAATGGAGTTCTCAGGTTTGACATCTTCCCTCTGTGCTTCAGCTTTATCAAAACCTTCATAAGAAAATTTATCTTCTGCCTTTTTAATCACTGAATTCATGTCAATTGCATATGACTTCTGAGAATGTTGAGCAGAAAATCCTTGCTCTTCATACACAGAATCTAGCATACTCTTTGATGTGATCTCATCAATGGATCCATCTTTATCATTGCCGTTGCTGTCTTCACTGGACATTATTGATTTATTGGAGTTCTCAGGTTTGGCACCTTCACTCTGTGCTTCAGCATTATCAAAAGCATCATTAGAAATTAGATCTTCAATTTTTTTAATCAATGAATTTATGTCATTTGCATATGACTTCTGAAATTGTTGAGTAGCAAGTTCATGCACAGAATCAAGTGTACCCTTTGATGTGATATCATCAATGGACCCATCTTTGTCATTTCCGTTACTCTCTTCACTGGACATTATTGATTTACTGGAGCCCTCAGGTTTGGCATCTTCCCTCTGTGCTTCAGCTTTATCAAAACCTTCATTGGGAAATTTATCTTCAACTTTTTTAATCACTGAATTTACGTCAATTGCATGTGACTTCTGAAAATGTTGAGCAGCAGATCCTTGTTCTTCATGCACAGAATCTAGCACACTCTTTGAAGTGATCTCACTGTCAACAGTGTCCCTTGCAGATCTACTTTTCAAGTCTGCTTCCTTGCATACACTGCAAATAGTTGATTCAGATGTCATTGACCCATCTTTTGAGCCACTGATACTAGTAGAAAATTCCACTGTGTAGCTGGTAGGATCAACCATTGTAGTCCCAAGGTTGCCTTCTCCATTGGTTGACACTGCTAGCTTGCCATCATCAGGCTGGTTGCTTGTCCCTACATTTCCATTTCCCTCAATTGGATAAATCCTCTCCAAATGATTTACTAATCCCGCTTCTTTGTCCCTATGGTCTTTGCCACCACTAGACTTTTTTGTTTTATCCTTCGAGGGACTACTTATGAGATGCACAGGTAGAAAAACAGATGATGCGTTATGACAGCGGAGAACAAAGGGTTGCAAATGAGGATGCCTTAACAATTCAGCTGCCTATAAACAAAGAGAAGCAGCATAAGAATTAACAGTTCCATGCGAATGAATCACACAAGAAAAGCTCAGTTGAACTCACTGTTGGTCTATGTTCTGGACTTTTCCTAAGCATGCTCTTAATAAGTTGTTTCCTGTTACACATAACTGACATAAGTTATACTGTTCCAGTTTTAGCATTTCAATGAAATATGAAAAGGAGAAACACGGACTGACTGGTAGAGTTTTGTTGGATTTGAAAAGTCAAATGCACTTTTAGGAAAAATGTTCAAATCATTGATCAAAAGCACAGGCGGAACAAATCAGGACAGTGTTGTGACAGCTAATGGATTTTAAGTGTTGAAACTATATGGTTTTGGTAGGGAAGGAAGAAAAGAGAGAATAAGGATTTGAATATGACTTTAGATTCTTATGGTGCATTATGATGTGTAATGATCTGATACAAAATACTAATCCATGGTCCTATTTATAATAATACTTAAGTTAAGGGCAACAAGTACAAGCTCAAGCACACTGCACACTAATAAGATTTCTAATCCGAATTAATTGAGGAAACAGAATAAAATTACTTCCCCAATTAGACATCACCACTTACATGTTTGTTAGTGTGCAGAGATGTCACTGCTGAAATAATTATCAGCAAGAGATGTAACCGCTGCAATGAATGACGGCAGGGAGAGGTCACCATCAAAATGATAGTGGACGTGAAGGGATGCCATCATCTTGGTGGGGAGAGATGTAGTTTATCATTCTCACTCTCCCCATCAATGCTATGCCAACATTTGGAAAAAACGTGTAATACCAAATGGGGAAGAAAGCAAACATGAAGATTTCATAAGAGTATAACAGGAAAGGAGGAAAAGAAAAGGTCACCATAAAGACGAAACAGAACGAAACAATCATGGGTAGAAGGAAAAACTAGAGTTTTAGTTTCTGTAATTGGTGCACAGCCAACAGAAAGGAAACAATTAGAGGGGCCAAAGTGAAGGTTTCGGTTGGAAGGAGGAAAAGAGAGAATTAAGGCCCTAAATAACAAGATATTAGATTAATATAGTGTATTATGATATGTGATGATCTGATACAAAATACTAACCCAGTCCAATTTATACTAAAAATTAAATTACATTGAGTACTGGAGTAGTATTACTAGTACAAGCCCAAGCTCACAAATATAATAAGATTACTAACCCTAATTAAATAAGAAAACATGCTAAAATTAGGAAATAACTCCTAAAATTGTTTCCTCAGTTAGTTGACTAGTTGAGTACATAATATATTCTAAAGATCTTCTCCAAGATACACTATATATATTTGAATATTTTGTAGATATTCTCAAATGAAGAAGTTACTTACAGTGTGGAAGAGTAAACAATTGGCAGTGGAGAAATGGAGGATCTATTTATTTTATTGATAAGTCCAGCCTTGTCCTGTTTGATTCATTCATCAAATTATTTTACTTAAAAAAAAAAATGAAGATGAGAGACTTCATTGCCAGTAATAACATCAAACAGTTTTGGATGGTTCAAGTTTGTTCTTACTGGAGCACGAAATGCCGGTTGATGTGCAGTAATTTCAAACATGCAGCAACCTTTACATACAAAGAGACGTCATTACATGGGTCAGATATCATATCATATGGCTTTGCCAATTAGAGTAAGGCATCTGTAATTCTTACCAAGCGACCATATATCAGATTTATAACCATAAGGTGTAGCAGCAAGGATCTCAGGACACATGTAGTTTCTAGTTCCAACAACCTACACAAGATATAAGAAGGGTGTAAACAATAAACAGGCTTCAATATGTATATTTAGACAGTGGAGTAGCACTATCATTAGTGATAGGAAGTTCAAAGAAAGAAAACATAAGTTATCCATGTTTAGTTAAAAAGCATCAATTGACAATCCACCACGAGGGGAACAACTACAAACAAGTTTCTTGAAGAAAGCAACAGATAAATGCTAAGATATTAATGATATATACAATACCGAGGAAGCAAGGTCTTCAGTATTAAGTAGCTTTGCAAGACCAAAGTCACCTGCAGCGTCCATACAGTACAGATATTTCTTTAGACAACATGGTACATTGAAACCAAAAGTGATGAGTATTCAAGGAAAAGGCCTTCATACCTAGCCGAATGTTATTGTCCTTAGTGAGAAAAATGTTGGAACACTGAAATTAAATGAAGTTGCATTAATGTAAAAACCATGCAAGGATTGATTTGCCAGGATAAGGAAATAGGTAATACCTTAAGATCTCCGTGGAGCACACGATTAGAGTGAAGGTAGTCCACAGCTAGCAACAATTGAGTCATCCATTTGCAGACTTTCTATAGGAGAAAATGGTAATGCAGAGTGGGTATATATACAAGAAAAATTATTACAGAGTAAATTCAGGAGTTTGGAGGGAATAGGAGGGGAAGGAATCTAAAGAGAATGAAGGGAAAGGGAGAGTAGATTGGGTTTGCGGGGGTGTCTTGAGGGTTCGTGTTAATTTCATTTTCCTCCACTCATTTTACAGACTCCCAAACAACGGAGAGGTTTACTTAAAAGCTTTCCCTCCCCTCCCATCCTTCCACTTTTCTCCATCCAAACATACACTAGTAAATTGTGCATAAAATCTTATTAATTACCTCCTCAGAAAAAAAAGATCCTCGAGCTTTCTTTATATTCTCAGCCCTGCTCCACAGAATGCAGTATTCCATGATTTAGACCAACTGGTTATAATGCTATTAAGTGGCATATAAAATTGTAAACATATAGGCTCTGTTTTATAGTACATGAGACCCACCGAATCCCAAAGCCTTTATCCAACAATATTTCATTTCAAACTTAGAATGTGAATAAAATTAATAATGTTATGAAACAATCTTTTCAAATATCTGTCTATCAAGCTTCTAAGTAGAAAGGTTATTTAGGTTATTGCAAAAAAATAAACATTAATCAACAAGAATCCTTTAAGATTCTAACAACATGTATTGATTATAGATCACTTATATGACAGAGTTTTTAAAAAGTTCCTAAGCCTCTCTCTAATAGCTTAAAATTTAAGGTCAAGAATTTATTTGACATAGTATAAAGTTCAATACTTCACCAGTCGAACAATTACGATTTTAGAACGACATTTTCATTCCCAAGGTAGAACTAAGTATGAAGTCCGGTGTAGTTTCTGTAGAAGATAGAAGTTTCTATTTTATCCACAATTGAAGTCCGGTAGGCTTTCACCTGAAGGGACGTGTTAAGATTTAAGAGTTACGAGAACCATTTTTAGAACTTTAACCTAATTGCTTAAGGTTTTAGTTAAATAGTTTACATGTAGGTTGCTAATAAAACATTTTCTTCTCAGATATCATGGTATAGCCTTCTCTGTAATCGAAAACAATAACTCAGATCCTTAATTTATGCAAGAAAGAATCAGTGTCACCAACAGATATTACTGTACTTACATGTTACCTCCTTCCCAATAGCCAGTTATAATGTATATGTAGTCCTCCTACAAAACATGAAATTAGCATTAATGTTAAGGAGTCATCCACATTGAAATAAGCCTATACATCAATAGAACTTCAAAGTTAATTCTTCATCTCTATATAAAAGTACAAATCAAAATTAAAATTAAAAAAAAAAAAAAGTCCTTACCTTCTCCACCCATGCATCTTTGTATTCCACAATATAAGGGTAATTTAGTTTCGCTATCAGGTCCATCTGAAACAGAAAGAGAGACAATATTGTCATTTTTAGTAAGAATTAAGAGGGTAAAAATATGTTATCAAAAAAAAAAAAAAGAGGGTAAAAATATCATTGAAAACTGTTAGGAACCCCTGATGGATATGAAGAAAAAAAAAAGGATGATTTTATTGATTGACTGAAATTGAACAGAACAAGGAGAGAACCTCTCCTCCAAGGGTTTCCCTTTAACAACTAAGCACTTGCTCGATTCTATCAAAGTACAAACTAGTCCCCTCTAACTAACTAATTGTCTAAACTAACTACTTTTTCTTCCCTCTATTTTTCCAAGCAAATACCCTCCTGTCCTAACAATATCACCTCATTGAAGTTCAATGATACATCCCCAATCCAACAGGTTTACCGTAGAGACAAGAACAGGAAGAAGTGGGCCTCTTCTGCAGCAACAGGCCCAAATGACATTGCTGGCCCAAGGGGAAGGACTGATAATTAACACAGCTGGATGGACCAAGGTACCCTCTAACAGAATGCAGATGGGAAGCGTGAAGTTACGCGATTGCTTAAGAAGAGGAGGAGGGGAACGTTGGCTGGCATCTGGAAATTGGAAGCATCTTGGGCCCTTTTGGGATTGGGAGAGAGTGGAACCTCTCATATGTGTTCCACAACTATCTTTACTATTTTGCATTGTTAATTTCTATTGGAATTCTGTATTGCCTTTCATGTTAAACAAATTCTGTAATGGATGTTCTGTATGTAATGTTTGCTGAGAAATATAGGAATGAGGAAGATTCAGTATTATTTCTTTGAGTAAATCCTGTTTTTAGTTTGTATTCTGGTCGGTCCTTATCATTCAACCTTTGAAATCTGAAAATTGGAAATGAATCAAATGTAGACTCTCCCAAATAATGTCCTCTAGTAGCTGGAATAACCATTTTATGAGAGCCTGATCAATCTGGTCCCCTTGGTGAGCAACTGGGTGAAATCCCAGCACGCATTCTGGTTGAGATAGTGGAGGATCATCTTCCAAATCTATTAGGAAGATAGGTCCCATTGGGTGTGACACTATTGCTTTCTTCAGCTGGGAGATGAGAAACTGAAGCTGGAAGCAAACTGCACCCATCTGCTGGACAAATCTGGCCCATTCAAAAATGTTAGGAACCCCCAAAGTCCAAAAATGAGTTTGGTTGGCAGAATTCCAATTTACCCCTACTTCAAGAATCCAATTCTGATTCGGCCCTTCCCTCTTTCTCCTTCTCTAGAACCAAATAATCTACTCTAGGATGTAACTCTCTAGTGCACATCCATGGCAGCTCAACTGGGAACAACCACTACCTAAAGCATGTGAGCTCCACTCCAACGGCTCCGGTGATGGTGAGAATGTGGGTGGACTCCGTGTAACCTGGATCTCCAACGCTTCCGCCACTAACTCCTTCTGCCTCTCCTCCACCATCATTCATTCAGTCATACACGCATCTAAGTTCAGCAATAGAGGCTCAGCAAGTTCAAATTCCAAGGCCCTGACACCATTGGTAATCCACCCATCTCCATGGACAAATGTGGGTTCAGTGGTTTTGGAGTAGATTTCCTTTCTCCTCTTTCATTGCCATCTCAACCAGAACTGAATTCGGGAAACCATGAACCACTACAGCATCTCCACCTTCATCTTCCACCTCAATCCTCTATACCATATTCCCGGCCTCAAGCACCTCTATCACCAAGTCATGCTCTGATTCTATCTTTGCATCTGGTTCTAGTTTTGTATCTAGTTCTTCTGCTATGGCATGCTCATAGATCATTATGAAAGAGAAATAAATATATTGAGAAGTACAAACGACTACTTAGATTGGGCTGATTCAAGCCATGTATGACTCAAAAGATAGTAGGAAACGATCAACTGTTACTATTTTTTCTTGGTAATGGGAAGACTAAAAACCAAAATTAAAGAAAAAAACAAGGATTCAATAAAAGTTAAAAAGAGAACTAAAACAGTAATGTGGGAAATTTGTGCAAGAATAACCTGTACAATCAATTAGGATAGAAGGAAGGAAAACAAGACAATATAATACTAATAAATAAATAACTGCATCAAGTGGAAGGGTTTGTTACACCAACCTCTTGGTGCACTGTCGGTTTGAACTTGTCCGTTTGCTTGGCCAACCGAATCTTCTTCAGCACATACCTACGGGGGATGAAATCGTCATGAAGACGAATATGAACTGAAGTTGAAAAGCAAACTGCCATTGAACTAGCAGGATTCTCAATTCCCAATAATTATATATACATCTGAATTGAAAATCGATTCCTCAATAGCTCATGTTAAAAGCTTAAAAAAACAAAAAAACAAAAAAACTAACTACTATTAAACTGGCAGGGCTTCAATTCCCACAATTGAACACTATAATCTCAAAAAGATTGAAAATTTGTTTCGGGGTTGTCTAATTTTGAACTAAAAATGGATCTTGAACAGTTCATGTTGAACGGTTTAGCAATTACAGAAAACAAGACACAGAAAGTGAACAGTGTCTTACCTCTTTTTCTCAGTCCTGTGGAGAAGGAGAAAAGATGCACTTAATGCTCCTCTTCCAATTTGCTCTATTACTTCATAGTCTTCCATCTTGTCGTTCTCCATGGAAAACTCCAGAAGAAGCTAGAAGACAAAACAGTGAAGCACTGAAGCAGCAGATCCTGATTTACTATGAACCCAATTCAGGAAAAAAAATGTTGATTCTCTATTTTATTGCAAAGTTTTGTTTTGTGTGTGTGTGTGTGTGTGAATTTCTGCTACCAACCCTCTTTCTTCTTCCCCTTTACATCAAAATACTGTAATGGAACACAACCTCTATCTTAAAGAGCATTAATTGTGAGACCTGAAAGGGTCCCTATTGAATGGATTTTAGGAACCATGAAGGGGTTTCAACTTTCACATGACAAATGAGTATAGATACATTCCCAAATTATAATGATACTAAACTAGCTTCTCAGGAGAACGAACAGAGAGAGAGAGATGAAAAAAAATAGCAGCTTGAAGAGAAATAAGAGATTTTCTACTTACCAAATGAAAGTTTTGAGAGAGAGAGAGAGAGAGAGAGAGAGAGAGATTTGGATGAAAGGGCAACAAAGTCAAGATCAACAACATTAGACAGACATGTTTTCACTTTCATATTACTTTAATTTGATAGGTATGTATCACTGTATCATTGACTGTGAGAATTTTTATTTTATTTTTTTGGGAAAGAATCATTGACTGTGACTACATTATTATATCCGATCAGGATCATTTTATACTAGTATAAATTACACTCTTAATTTTATTCGTTGATCTCATTTATATCTAAGAGCTATAATTTTTTAGTAATGTGAGTCATTAGATACAAGTGGATTAATGGTCAAGATTGAGGGTAAGACTTCTAACTCTTACACCGGAGTAAGAATATCCTGTCCCTATTATATCTGTCCCTACTAGCCAATGACCAAAAAATTAAAAATATGAAAAATTTTCAAAAAAAAATTGTTAAATAATGATATAATTTAAGGGTTAAATATTTCTAAATAAAATTATCTCATATATATATATATATATATATGTGTATAGATTCATGTGAAATCATATGAAGAGAAGAAAAAGAAAAAGAAATATGAATCCATATGTACTTTTATATGTATGTAGAAGATAAAATTATCTCATATAATATAAGAGATATTAAACTCATACTTTAATCCGTAAAAGAGATTATTCATAACATTTTTTATTATATAAATCGATTTTAGAAGTTATGAAGTTACTAATATGTTTAATATATGGGTTTAATATTTCTTGTATTGTAGGAGATGAAATTATCTCTAGGATACATACAAAAATATGTGGGGCTAATGTGGGGATGTAAAGATAATAGAAAAAAAAATATGAATCCTATACAGTTTTTTTTTTTTTTTGGTAATAAAATCCTATACAGTTTTATATATGTATAAGGGACATTAAACCCTTAATTTACTGAAATATTAATGAAAACTTAGAGAATCGATACAAGTATAAGACTAAGTTGTATAATTATTCAAAGGGAAAAATGTTTATCCTTTTAAATGACACAACTTATATCCTATTACTCTCGTAAAGAGGTGGGATTCACACCTTTATTTTTTTGTCAACTCTCTCTCCTCCTTTATCTATCTCTTTCTTTCTCTTAAAATAACACAACTTTACATCCTTTAAAATGACACACACTTTACTCTTATTCAAAATAATTAATTAAGTTTTATAATTTTTTTGGAAAATAATAATTTAATAACTATGAAATTTAAATTAATTTTTCAGTAGTTAATTATGCATATATTTTACTATTATTATATTATTATTTATTTAACAATATCGTACAGCTGAACTGAAAAGTATTTTTCTTCAATAACCACGTATATGATCATTTAAAAAAAATTAATATATTTTTTATATTAGATGAGACAAAATTATCTCATGTATATACAGAAAAATTGGTAAGACCCACTAACTTTTTCTTTTTCTCTCTTTTCTTTAGTGAGTCTCATCCACTTTTATGTATGTTTTATTAATATAAAGAAACATATTCCCCTTTGAAAAAATTAGAAAAATTGAGAGAGCAATAAGGGCTGAACTTAAAAGTGACAAGTATGGATAACTAAAAGGACTTGCTTGCATTTTCAGACTAAAGGGTGATCCCTCAAAGGGAATATTTCTAGCACGAATGTGTGTGGGATAAGATCAACTTACATCGGTATAAAAATAAAAAAATTTACACTAAATTTTAACTGTTAGATGTATAGAAATTAACGATTAAGATTTGATGTAAAATTTCTTATATTCACATCAGTATAAGAATAATCTGCCTATATATATATATATATATATATATATATATATATATATATATATATATAATTTTTGTTTGTCTTTGTATCCAGAGCACAAACTCTTTATTAGCATGCTTCCAAAGAATATTCCGAAGTTGAAGTCTCTGCCCTTTTCTCCAAGTATGGATCTATAAGGGAGTGTTTGGTAGGAGGTTTCTTTTAGGATGACTGAAAAAGTGAGGGTGGATATTGAAGAATACAACATTTGGTAGCATACTTTAAATAATTTCCCTATCAATCTCATTTGCATAGCAATCTACTATTATGTGTAATATTGGCAAAATTTGACCACTCGAGGATACCACCCAAAGGGTGGAATTCTCATTATCCCAGCAAATGAAAAAGTAGCATTTCTTAATTTAGGACACAAATATCCCTTGACTTAATGTGCCAAAAGAAAGCCGGAAAGAGAGAGAGTCTAATATATTTTCATAAATTCATCCTATTTTTTCATTAATATTTTATATTCAAGAGACTCAGAAAACTTACATCAATTTTTTTCTGTAATATTTTGAGCTACCAAACAATCTTTTTTTAACTTTTCTACCAAACTCACTTTTCCACTAGATTCCTAGTAATTGAGTTTTTTAGGTAAAAAAAAAAAATTCTCTCTACCAAACATCTCCTAAAGGATTTACATATGTTAAGAAGTCTTCAGCAAACAAGTAAAGGTACTAATTTTAAAGGTGATGCTATCCTTTATTCCTTTTGGGCTTTAGTGTTTCTTAATTTCAAAGCTTTATTCGTAGCTGTATTTCTTTGTGGTAGGATGTGCATTTTTTAAGTATGAAACCAAAGAACAGGCCCTTGCTGCTCTTGAGGCAATTAAAAATGGAGGTTGGTGTTTATTAAAACCATCACCTGAATTTTTTGTAATATATATTTTATTTGGTTAATGGCACTAGTGGAGCTGGTGAGTAATATTATGAATGCGTTGAAAAATTCCATCTATTACAGTATTACTATATTACAGTTATGTAGGGAAGGAGAGAATTGGATGTACATCTTGCAAACATTTTGTTAGCCAATTGATAATATTTACCAATTTGGCACTATTTGCAATTTTTCCAATACAATGTATGCTAAGACTTGATGGCATTATTAATCATTCATACACATTTATGAGCTTTTTTTAGATTCAGCAAAAAAAATTTGGTTCCTAGTATGTTTTAGAATGGAAAAGTGCATGCTTTTAAACTCAATTAAAGTTTTAGTTGTAAATGGTGTTTGCAGCACTTTGGACTCAGCCACAAAATCCTTTTGGCGGGGGACGTGAACATTTATTCATGTGTCTCAGATTTTATTGTAGAAGCACAAATACATAGTTAATTATTTTACTTTTTAATCCTTCTCTTGATTTGGACTTCTATAACTGACTTTTTGCCCCACAATTCTATTAAAAAAGAAAAATAGAGTGCCCCGAATTGGTTTGTGTAAGACAATGATCCGCTCAGACTTGACTCATAATTTATATATGATAGACTTGGACTGGATTCAAGCTTGGAAAGGAAAACTCAAGCTTCGGCCGTGAGGCTTATTATATGTTTGCATTAAATGAGCCCAAGCTTCATAAAGCTCACACTTATGCACATAGTGTCAATCAATATATATAGAGAGAGGGGCAGGATCCTTTGACACCAGTGTCAAATTTGAAATTTGACACCTTATCTGAAAACCATTAGATAAAAAAAGATCAACGGTGTCACATGCTTACAAATCAGAGTCGTTGATCTTTTTTTATCTAACGGCTCTAGATAAGGTGTCAAATTTCAAATTTGACACTATTGTCAAAGGATCCTCCCTCATATATATATATATATATATATATATATATATATATATATATATATATATATATATATATATATATATGTATATATCATAAAAATATTTATGCAGTTAATGCAAATAAGTTATCTGCATTTACTTTCAAAACGACGTCATTTTGGGATTGAAAAATTAAAAATTATGATTATAAAGACTATAACAACCCTGAAATAAATTAAAATTACAAAAACATCATGATTTCCACCCCAAAACGACGTCGTATTGGGCTTACTGCAGAAAAAGCGATCCATATATATATATATATATATATATATATATATATATATATATATATATATATGAGAAGGATCTGTTTACAAACTTTTTTTACAAATTACACTAAGTATGACTGGTCATACACTTTTGATTAGTGTATGACCGGTCAGATATAGTGTAGTTTATAAGAGTTTGTAAACAAAAAGTTTGTAAATATATTTTGCCCCATATATATATGGGGAATGATCCGTTTACAAACTTTTTTTACAAACTACACTAAGTATGACAGGTCATACACTCTTGATTGAAGTATGACCGGTCATACTTAGTGTTGTTTGTAAGAGTTTGTAAATAAAAAGTTTGTAAATATAACCTTCCCCTATATATATATTGTTAAATAACAAGAGAAGAGAGGAACATTGTAATAAATCTGTGTAGTATTGAATTGATACAAGATGTACAATATATAGACACACTAATGGGCTTAGCCCAGACCTAACACAAATTCTAATGAAATAAGGAAATAAATATTTAAAGATATACAAAAGATATATTCTTTCTAACACTCCCCTTCAAGCTGGAGCTTATAGAACATATACACCAAGCTTATTACATATAAACTCTATTCGAGAACCCCTCAAAGACTTTGTAAATATATCTGCTAATTGATCATTAGAGGGTACAAAACTAGTTGTAATTTCACCAGCA